CGGCTCGGCCCAGCCCGGCCTCGGCGGCGCCACTCGGCCCGCCCGCCCGCCAGTCCCTCAGTCGCGAAGTCGCTCCGTCCGGCCACCGTTCTCTACCTCAGGAACGCTCCGAAAAACAAACCACTGGTCGCGCAGCTCGCCCCCTGGCCTGTCAGTCACCCCAGCGCCCGCCAATCCCAGGCGGTTGTCGGGCCTCCGTACCGCCCCCACTCACTTCACCGGCCAATAACAAGGAGGAAGTCGGCTGCCCCCGCCGCCCCTCCCCACACTCTCACCCCAACACCCTTACTCTCTGACGCCAGCTAATCACCAGCACCACACGATGAACCAATCCCGCCTACTCTCGCAGGATGCCAATGGCTGAAGCCAAGGCGGTTTCCGAAGGCTGTCGACCGCCTGCCAATCATCGAAACAGCTCTCGGTTCACTACGGCGCTAGCCAATCCCGTGGAGGGCTCTGAGCACCCGCCTCCGCGCATCCTCGCGGCCGCCCGCCCTCTCCCCCGGAGGTGTGGATCGTCCCAATCACAGCTTGCGCGCGAGGCTCCACCCCCATTCCCACCTCCTGTCAGTCACCCCAGGCTCCGCCGGCGCGCGGGCTGGCGCCGTTCCCGCCGGCTGCTCCCGGGCTGGTGGGTTCCCCCGGCCTCCGCCCTCCGGCTCTGGGAGGTGCTGTTGAGCCCGAAGGCGTCTCGCCCCTCCCTTGTCCACACGCGCCGGGAAAGTCCCGGCTCCGCGCTCTGCCAGGCGTGTGCCCACCGCTGCCGCCGGGTCCCCATGCTGGGCCGCCGGTACTGACGCTGCGCTTGCCCGGAGGCAGGGCGGCCTCATAGGTGCCCCACTTTTGCTGGGGCTCATACCTCTCGGCCACACCCTCCGGCCGAGGTTCCACCGGCCTGGGAGGTGATGCTGGAATGTGCGTCCTTAAATCTGGGGGTTCCGCCGGCCAGAGTCAAAGCGGTTATGTGGCACAAGGGGTGGGTTGGGGTTGGTGTGGGGGTCTTTCCTCTTTCGTCCAGGTTATAAAAGCATTACAGACTCCTCGCTGACAATGAAAATCCCGCCGCAGTGGTAGTTTTATCTCTTTCCCATCCAGATTTCCCATGTTTGACGAAAAGGGCTTCAAAGACTTGTACAGCGGGCTTACAGTTTATTGTTTTCCCGTGCCACTGAACATTGTTCCAAAACAATTGTGGCTGCCTATTTCAGAACCCTCCAGATCTTCGGATCCCAAGTCCATCACAATTAATATGGGCCCCCTTTCTCTGGTCCCTGTTCCAGTAATAGACGCCAGACAATTCCTCAGATGCCATTTTCAACTGGGAACTAAGCATTGTTTGCCTTGAGTGGCAAATCTCTTTAAGAGTTACTTTAGACTCCCCTTCTTATAGATCACTGTACTCCCCCCCCCCCATTAATATCTAGCCAGGTCCCTTGTCCTGTTATTTTTCTCCAACCAGTTTTTAAATAGCTAAGTTTCCCACTTGATTGAATGCCTACCCAGTTATCGTTCCTTAACTTAACCTTCCTTAACCTCACTTTTCTGGGAAAGGGAGGTTGAGAAAAAGGCCAAGATTAGTATTCATCAATCATTTACTATGTGCCAGGAAAGTCTCCTCATTTAATCTTTCCAGTAACTCGGGTAGGTGGTACTGCTGGCACATAAGTGATGACAGAAGTATGCTACCAGCACAAGGGGCAGAGCCAGGGCTCATTCCAGGTCTGGCATCCAAAGGCCATGTTCTCGCACTAGGTCAGTGTTTTCAACAGGCTTTTCATTACCTTTCAAGGAGAATGTTTTAATTACTTAAGTTCTCCCTAAGGATAAGATTTTGTCAGGTAGAGCTGAGTTTATCTAAGATTCTTGTTATCTCTTAGGAACCAATCTGCGACTCTCCCCCAGTAACACTGGCCTTCTTTGCTACAAAGCGCCATTTCTCAGGCACTGCTCTACCCTAAGATGGTCCCATGGTTAATGTCCTCATCTCATTCTGGTCTCTGCTCCAATGTCAACTCTTGACTTTCTCCCCTCCGTCATTCTGCATCCCCACAAACCACCATATTCTATTTCAGTGTCCCAAATGTTTAGTTGACTTTTCTCAGTGACAAGGAACATCAGCTGTAGGGGCAGTGCTCACCAGCACTTACAATAGTCCTTACACATAGTAATGTAATGCAATTACCTGTAAGTCTTTAGCTGAAAAGTTTTCTGACTTTCTACCTACCTAGCAGCTTTGAGGGCTTCGCTTCCATTGTCTCTTAACCAGCCACCTCAAACTTCACCACACAGCAGTTAACTGTGGTACCGACATCTTACATTCTGCAGGCCCACACCGAACTCATTTCCCTTCGCAGTTTTGTCTATCCACCTTCAGTTCTCCAAGTTAAAGATCTTTGAGCGATCTAACTTGGAGGGTTTTTCTTCACCACCACCTCCCACCACAGCTGATCCTGACCACCTCCAGCCTGTCCACTCCTCTTCCACCAACACCCCTCGTCTGTGCAACAGCCTCCCAACGTGTTCTCATCACAGAACGAGCTTTTTAAAATTCAGCCCTGGTCTGTGATGCTCTGTTTAAAAACTTTATAGTCTTTAGGGTTAGGCAAAGGTGTGACTGCAGCCCAGTAGAGCCTTCAGGACCAGATCATTCCTTCTCTGTCACAAGTTTCCCCATTTCCCACATCCCCCAGCCCCATCGTTTAAATTCTGGGCTCTGGCCACATGGAACTACTGGAAGTTTCTCAGATATGTCCTGGCTTCTCACCTCTTCATGTGCCATTGGCTGTTTCAAACATTCTTGTCCCTTTCTCCCTTCTTCCAGCAAACCCCTAAGCCTAAATATCACTCTCCTGGAAGCCTTTCCAGACAGGTAGCCCCAGATTTGGGTACTAAAACATGTAATAATTTCATTATCGAAGCATTTCTACTCTATTGGGATTAAAAAAAGTATTCCTTTTAATAAGTATTTATGCCTTTAAAAAAGTAAAAAAAAAGTAAAAAAGTAAAAAAAAAAGTAAAAAAAAAAGTAAAGGTGAGCCATTCAAATTGGTAGGCCTTGCATCTTTCACCAGTACATTTTAAAAACAAGTATTTGCTGAGTAAGTGAACCTCGAGTGGGGATGTTAATAACAGAATGTAACTCCCACAGGTCTGCCCTTTATCTTCGGTGTTGTTTCTCCACTCCCCCCACACGAAGCCTCCCAGGTGGGCCAGGCCCTCTCAAGCTGTTCCCCTGGTTTATACAGAGTATGTGTCCCTCCTTAAGCACCAGAGCCCTGCCTGCCTTTGAGTGCACCACCTGCCTTTAATGCTCAGCCCCTCAGAAAATACTGGTGGCATCAGGCAGCCAGTCACACTCCAGCTCAAGAGCACAGGGTCACAGGCACATAAGCTACAATATAAATGAACCAATTAGGGAGTAGCTCAATGAATTTGACATTTCAAAAAACCAACAAGCCTATCATCTCATTTGATGAAATTCCTTTAGTTCAGAGGTAAAGTGGGATATATTCAGATTATCAATTCAACTGTCTTATTTTTTGCTCTGTCAAGGATTAAAGTATACCACGTAAATTTTTACAACCAAGATTTTTCTGTTACTGACATTAACTTCTAATGCAAAAATTACTTTTCATTTCCACTTCTGTAAATTTATCCTAAAGAATATTTTGCAAATAAGCAAAAATAAAAACTCTTCATTGCAGGATCTTTTATAAGACAAGATAATCCAAATATCCATTGATAAGGACTAGTTACATAAATTAAGGCACATTAACCAGCACAACAGAATACTACATAGCTAGTAAAAAGAATGATGCCGATTTCTCCATACTAATATAAAAAAGGTGTGCAAGGTATGCCATGAGTAGAAAATAGGTTAGAGGGCAGAAATGTGATCACATTTTAGTTTTTAAAAATGTTCAAACAGACCTATGAAGTAGGTACTGTAATTCTTACTTTACAGATAAGAAACCTGAGCAGAGGTTGTTATCCATGGCTGCTAGCTATTGTCAGAGTCAGAATTTGTTCTCCAGCAAACTGATTCCAATGAGTACAATAATAAAGAGTATTGTTACGGTATTTGTATCTGGGGAGGTAACATTAGGTGAGACTTGTTTCTCTAAGATTTGTCTTTTTAAAACACAATAGATGTTACCTCTTTTGTCATAGACAAAAGATTCCAGAAAAGAGGAGAATGTAAAAACTGCTCTCCCCACTCATTGCCTTGCATTGAACAGAGAATGTGGTTTCCACCAAGAAGGATACTACATGGCGAGCGCTTCAGCCAGACCTCTTGGCTCTTATCTTTGCTGCACACAGAATACCTCAGAGGCCTCTTGAGATCCAAATAAAAGTCTAGGAGTTAGGCCCTTAGAGTTTGAAAGTTTTATTCATTCCTCTGCTATAAATTTCAGAAAGTAAAAAGAAAGAGAAAGGCACTCAAGTGCACAGCTGAATTCCCGTGGTTGGCTGGAAACAGCCTTTGCTGCTCCTGTCTGATTCAGCTGGGGCCTCGGCAGCAGGGAGGCGGGGACACACCACACCACACATCTTGTGACAGTCAAGGCCATGGACAGAGCTTGTCACAGATGCTCCGTCCCACCAAAAGGATACTCGGAAGTGAGCTCAAGCCATCTTCAAGGCCCTGAATGATTCTGTTGCTAAGACAATGACCAAAGACAAGGCAAAGGCAAGCGACGACAGGATTCAATTCTTTTAAGGTAAGCCTGACTCCTGGCCTTTCGTATGCTGTCTCCCTCGTTGGACAAACACTATGGCTAATTTTCTTAAAAGAAAAAAAGTTCCCCTGATAAAAGATTGCACGATTAAAGACATGATTAGAGACAATAAAACGCCATTTCAAGACCATCCAGAGAACCAGTTTTGATATTCTGATACACTTCCTCCTAGTCCCTTTATAAAATTCACACGTCTATCTAGATAGGATGGGTGTATGGGTGTGTGTTTGTGTGTGTGTGCGTATCTCTATACACACGTATATATATTTGTGACATATATTTCAAAATTTGAACAATAGTAAATAGTTTTGCATCTTTGTTTTCCACTAAACATATTGAAAATATTTTCTGACATAAAATTTGAAAAATAATTTTTAGTGGCAGAATAACTCATACACTCTCTAAGTAACTACTCAGTTAAAAAGTAATTTAGCTATTTAACCTAGGAGCTCAAGGTCTCCTTACCACAGGAGGTAAAGTAGCCCCAAGGAAGGTTTCATTAGCTGCAGGAAAGACTGCAGGACACCACTAGGGGTCAGGACAGAGCCGGCTAGTAGGCCTTGATTAAGAAAACTGGTTCTGTTTGAGTCAGTCCTACCAGATGAGAGGACACTCACCTAAGGAGTCAAGTTCCCTACCAGAGTGGGCTCCCCTACTACAGATGTCTCGGTCAGGAATCTTCCAGATTCATTTATCTAAACATTTACAAAACATACCCAGCCTGTCAATACAAGGTTACTAGCTGTGTTCTTACCTGCTTGCTATGAGGTAACGTGTGCACAAAATTCTTGGCCTATTTTAAAGATCTGTTGTAAAAATCAAGTAAACAACATATGAAAGTATCTTATAAATTATGAAGAAGCATTTAATTTTAAGTTACGTGTGTTCATGATGTGCCGCTCAGATGTTCACGCCTATAAAAACCGAAAACCCAGGAAGTCAACGATTATGGAATGAGGTATGTACATATATGACATGTGCTTTGGCATAATCATGGGTTATTTCATTGGTTTTCTTCCCCCTAGTCTTTGCTCTCCAGCCGTTGAAATCACTGTAGAATAATGTTTTTTCTAGTTAATCATTTATAGCCAATTTAACTTTAGTTCTTTTTCATTCTCATTTGTGAGATTCCTTCAGGAAAATTGCTTAAGCTCAGAATTGGCTTAAATAACTTAAGTAGGACATTAACCGAGTCAAAAAGTCTCTCCAGGCTCAACAAGCTTGAGGGCTCCAGCCCAGGTGGCCGGCACCCCTGGCCTCTCTAAATCCAGAAGTGACAGAAGGCACTAAAGGTCACCCTCTCTAGGCGCCTGCAAGGCTTCTGATTCATCCCTCCTCCTGCTCTCGGCTCTTCTCCAGTCCCCAGGGACTCCTTTTAGCAAGAGGAATGAAAAGGTGCTCTGGTTAGGTGTTCTGGGGCCAGGCAGCTTTTGAAACCAGCCTTTGTAGGGCCCGTTCTGAGAACAGCCTAATCTACCCACCGGTCTGCCTGATCCATCTCAGAATGCACAGACCAACCTCAGGGCCTGAGAAAAGCAGGGCGTCCATTATCACTGGCACAGGGTTTCCTATTGCGCTAGGGCCATACCCTGGCAGGAAGACACAGGCATCACATGAAGAGAACAAGGACACACACAGTCACGTGGCCCTGGCACAGCATCAGTAATGCACAGCCCTGGGTCTGTCCTCTGGGTACCGGGTCTTGGGGCATAGCACTGATCGAACAGCTTGTGGTCTTGAGAAGTGGTGTTTCTGGTACATGGCAGGTGTTAAATAAATATCAGTTGCATAAATGATGACACATTTTGACACATCATCACATCACATAATGCCTGGAGAGAATTACACTTCTATGGTCAATGAAAAAATAAACATCAAGCCTAGGACCGTACTGGTCATAGCCTATAAATATGAGAGGAAGTCAAGAGGGTCCCAACAGCTGGAAAGGAACCCAGAAAAATCAAGAGCCAAACAAGAGCAGTGCAGCAACCCAGATCAATCTGTCATTTAAGAGGAGTTTCTGGAAATGGGCCCCAGGGCACCAATCATTCCACAAGGGCCAACTTCCTGAGTTCAGAGTTGACAGAAAGGCCCCAGAGGTGTGAGGATGCCTGGTCTCACGCCTCCTAACTTGCTAGGCCACCCATCTGCCTCAGTGTCAGTGCCCTGTCGAAGGCTGCATTCCAGATGTGCTGCCCCTTGCGTAGGAAGGGGCCCAGGGGCAGAATGGCCTGGTTACTCGATGTTGTCATAGACCTGGATCACGTCCTCATGGTTGCTGAGAGCCTGGATGAGATGGGAGGCCAGTTCCAAGTCGGCGTCAGCGAGCTGGACCTTTGTGTTGGGGATGAACTCTAGTGTACTGGACACAGAACACAAGCCCAGGGAGTCCAGCTTCTTCCTTACTTGATGCAGTGAAGACACATCACAAATAAACTAGGGAGAAAGCAAAGTCAGGAATTGAGAAGCCTGGAGGGAACAAGACAAAGCCAGATAGAACTCTATGAAGTCCTGAATGGAACAATGACCAGGTATCCTGGAGCTGAAGCTCCTCACTGACACAGGTCGTATTCCTGCTCTGCGTAGTCCTCAGCAGAGCAAGCTCTGTCCAGTATTCACTTCCTAAATGTTTGTGCAATGGGTGTCGTCTTTAAGTCTCCCAGGCCTTTGAGCATGGTAGCAAGGGGCACAGGGAAGAAGCAGCCATGGGGTGTCTTAACCGGCCTACCAAGGCCCTCTGTGAAGTCCACCGAACACCAAAATGGCACTCACTTTAAAAATGTTATTTTCCTCTTCATCCTCAGTTTCCTTGACATCCTCAGCTCCTGCTTCGATCGCCAGCTCCAGGGCACGCTCCAGGTTGACAGCTTGCTTCTCTCTGTCCTCCGCTCCAACCACAACCACTCCCTTTTTGTCAAAGGAGTGGCGTGCTCCTTCAGCCATCATTCCACTGACAGGAAAAGAAATGGCTAGAGTGGAAGATTAGACCTTCTGCCTCCACATGACACCGCCTAACAGTCTCTCTTCTACCCTGCCTGTGAAATACACACAGACGCAAAACCGTGTTCCTCCTGAAGGAGAAGGTGCAGCTACCCCTGGGCAAGGGCATCATCCAAGCACACCCCACCCTGCTTTCTGGGGTGTTGGAGGCTGCAGAGACTGTGCTCATCACTTCCAGTGCCACTAAGTGTCCAGTCCTGGGGGTGCAGTCTAAGACATAGGCATTAGAGGGCCACCGTTGGGATAACAGGACAAAGAGCCCCTTCTACACCTGATGGACAAATCTTTTGGATCTGGCCTGTACGGAACACATTAAAGGGGATTAACTGATCCCATTCATTAAATCATTTGGTTAAGCTGTGCATAAATCTTGAGACAGTACGTACTTTCCTGGCACCCAAAGGCTCAGTCCCCCCCAATTCTGCCAGACACACACCTACCCATTCTTGTTCAGGATGTGTCTGATGTCCGAATGGCACTTGGAGCCACTGTTAGATAAGGCCTCAATGAGCAGAGACGCACCGCCAGGGCCTCGACCCTCATAGAGCAAATAAACGCCCTTGGTTTTCTGCAACAAATAACACGAGTTCATGTTCCTATTTCCCAATTCCCTCCCGCAGGCCAGCCTAGAATGGCAAGTACCACAAATCTGACTTCATAGGTGGGCTCTCTGGTCTTTATTTTTGTCCCAGCCTGGAGAGGAGAGTGATTAGAACTAATCGAGGTCAGCAGAAGTCCTACCCTTATTAGAAGGTGGTCTGCTGCTCTGACCCGTGAACATCAATCAGCCATCCCCAGCTGTTTTCCTCCCCTCCCAACCGAATCTCACATCTTCCAGACACCTTCCATGAGGCACCCTCCTCTGAGTCCCAGCCAGCATGAAATCCACCCACGATGTCTCAGAGCTCCCCCACTCCTGAGCTGCTGAGTACAGTAAGTCCTCAAGGTCCTCAGTGTTAGAAACTGCAATTTTGAGCAAAATGACATATAATGAAAACAGATCCTAGAGCATGTCTTTGGCTCGGCGTTGGCAGGGATTTTGTTTTTCCCATCTAGACATTCTATAAAATGTTTTTCCGAGGAACTGTTGTACTGCTTGGGAAATCACAGACCTGTGCCTAAGAACCACTGAAAGTAACATGACCTCAAGAGCTGAAATAATCAGACAAACCCTAATGACCATCCAATCTGGACTCACAAACCACTTCAACCACATGGCCTGCCCCTGGGACAGGCCTGCCCACTGCCCCCCCAGGGGCATCACTGATGACTTCCTTCCTTCCTTTCACAAAGGAAACAGAGGCCCACCAGCGGGGGGCAAAATCCTCAACTTTATCTGCACTGCATCTAAAGGACCACCAGCTGGGGCAAAACCCTCGAGCTGACTACAGCCCTACAGCTACTTAAAAGAGCACAGGTTTACCTTATCTGCCCACCTGTACAGAAAGGCAGCAGGTACAGTGGCTAGAGCACTGGTTTTGGGTTCTGATCGTCTGTTTTCAAGTCGGTTATTTCTGCATGACTTGGTCAAGTTGTCCAGTCTTTCTGTGCCTCGGTCTCCACTTAAGGTGGTTTTGAGAACTGAGTGAGACAATGCATCCAGAGTTCTTATGAGCATGTCTGGCCTGGCATAAGCACTCAATAACTAGTGCCTATTAAGATCATTATCACTTCCTCAGGTCCTTCCTGCTTGTCCCAGAGAAAGAGGTATTCCCTTCACCTGGGGTTCAAGACTTGGCCTCTCCAGCTCTACCCCTGCCATCATCACTATCTACTATACCTTCTCTCTACTGGCTTTTCTCCTTCAGGGCAAAAACATATGAAAAACAAAGGCAGATCCTTCCTCAATGTAACAGCAAGGCTCTCCTCATACAGTGCCCCTTCTTTCTACCTCATCTCAGAAGTGAGCCAAGAAACCCTAAGCTGTATAGTTCACTACACGGTCTATCCACCCGATTCCTGATGGCCAAGGGCAGGAAGTCACCAGAAGGCTCTGGGTTGAGGGTGTCAACCACATTGCTACACTTCTCTGATAACTTAAGGAGTGTGTGGTAGCCTTGCAGACATGGGTCAGTAAGCATGTCAAACATGGACACACCTCCATTTTCAGTGATGCCTCAATCGTTGACTTGGGCATGTGCTTGCTGCGACACACCTCTAAGATGTTAGCCAGATTGCTGTTGAGCTCAGGGTTGGGGCCTCCTTCTGAGATAGAGAGAAAAGTGTGAGTAAAGACATGTCTTACAGCATGGGGGAAAAAGCAGGTCTCCACTCCCAACCGCAGCATCAAAAATGTGGCAAGTCACTACTTAACACTGCATGACTGAGAGCACATTATCCAGTGTCTGAGTGGGATAAGGAAGAATATTTGGGGAAAGACATTCTAATTTGCTGTCTTTAAGGATGGACCTCTTTCTGCTAGGTTTCAGCAACCATCGCTTTTATCAGAAGACAAGATAAGGGATATAGATGGTACCAGTATCTCCTGGGTTTATTAACACCCCTTGCTCTGACTCCACTATTTTATGCATAATTGTCAAAAAGCTCATAGGACATTGTAATTAGGCTGTCTCTGAAAGTAGGGAGATAATCTCATTGTTTCTGTAGTACCATAACAAACACTCGGTATTGTTGGGCAAACTCAGTATCAAGAATTTAGAAGAAAAGGGAGCAAAGAGAAGCAGCAGTTATGAATTCTAGAATGCGCCAAAACAACCTCAACGTGAGCACTATTCCTCAAAAGCATATTTTATAGACAAGGAAACTGAAACTCAGCAAGGTTAAGTCACTTGATCAAGGTATTGCAGCTAGTAACAAAAGCCAAGTCTTTTTGACTCAAAAGCCCACACTTTCTACATGATTTTCTCCATTTCTACAGTCTGATACTAAATGCAAAAAGTCAGTAAATAAGTAAATCCTTTTTATGGTGGCTACACTGTTGGGAGTGACCAAATGCGGAGATTTACTGAGGGACCGGGTAAGGGCAGTAATAAATCAGGCCTTGCATCCAAAGGTGATAAGGCGGTAATAAATTGGGGTCTTGCATCCAATTAACGGGGTCTTGCATGGGAGATGGGACTAGATGAAGGTGATAACGAACTGGGCCATACATCAAGGGACGTAGCGATTAATCACCTCTTTGGAATTCAAGTTTTAAACCTATATAAGAGACCCTTCCCCCCTAGGAGGGTGGCAGTAGCTGCGGACCCTATTCTTGGGCTCTGTCTCAGCTGCTGTCCGAGAGCAATAAATTGTTTGCTCAGCCTCTCTGCCTTTCGTCTGTCTTTTCTGCGGCCGGTCAAAACATATACAACTGAGAGAAAACAAGGGGGCAAACCTACTTTCCAACATAATGAGTCTCAGGAAAGAAACCATGATGAAGCAAAAGGAGGCCCTGGGCAAGTAGCAGCTTTACTTAATGCCTCTGTTCCGGACTAGGGTGAAGTTACTTTTATCTAAGAGCAGCTCCCTGACAAGCTGGGTAGACATTCAGCATCTGGGAAAGTGAGTAGGGTTAGCCAGAGCCGCTAGGCGTTTTAAGCGTTTACGAAGTGGGCGACGGTGGGGATTGGGGAATGAAAACGAAATGAACGGACTAGGACTGGGGTGAGCCCTGACTCAACCACGCCAGGCAAACGAGGCCTTGGGCACAGAAACGGCGGCAGCGATTAGCGGAGGGTGGCCTTCAAATTCTTACCTTTAACTGCTAGGCGGATGCTCAAACAAAGCTTGGAGAAGATGCGACTCCTTTCAGCATCCTTGGGACCCTTGACGTGCCGCACTTTTGACCACTTGTTGTGCCCAGCGGGGACCGCCACGGTGAGATGCAGCGTCCGGCCCCAGAGTTCTGACTGGGAAGGCAGATGGACAGGCCGCAGAGTCACCCGGGCCCCGAGGCCGCGCGCCCGAAAGCATGTGGCAGCGGCTCGGCTCAAGCTTATAGCAGCCCAAGACGCCATCGGCTTCGGCTCAGTCCAAGGTCAAGTGCAGCACCAAGGGCACCCTTTCCCGTTCGCCGCCACTACAAGCAAGTCCGAAGCCTGTGGTCGCTTCCACCAGAAGAGGGAGACCCAAAGTCTCCGGCCCAGACCCCCAGCTACCCAAACGCTAAATACCCCGCATCGTTCTGGCTGCAGCGGGAACCGGACCCTAATTGAAAAAGCACACTTCCTTCTTCCGGTCCGTTCCAAAAACGTATCCCCGCTGCCCGCAAAACCCGTTCCGCCGCCTCATAGTACACCCTGTGCTCTTGCAGGCGCCAGGAGCAGGCAGAGATGAAGTGGGGTGACACAGCTCTCTCCCGCCTGATTCCCTGGGGAGCAGTGGACTTTATTTTCCACAGTGATCTAATAGTTATGAAGCTGATTTTCCTTCCGAATTGCTCTCCAACTTTGAGCAGGTCCAGAATGTTTTGCAATAAAATCTTCGTTTAGCAAGTAAAGAATTGGTCACCAAGACATGTGATTTGCCCTGTAATTCCATGTGACTGAACCTCCTTATCTGCAAATAAGAATGCTCCTACTTGAGTTCCATAGGAAGGTTGGAAACACAAAAGCCCTTGCAGCTTTAAAGTAACCACTTCCATAAATTGCAGTAATCATACTGATTGAGAGCTCAGGGAGAGGGAGGATGACCAGAAGAGACTTTGGAGGCATGTTTCCTTCTCCATTTTCCCAACGAGAAAAAGGAGGCCATTAAGAGTAAAGACATAAAGTGGCATCTGCTGAAACTTTCCAGGGGCTTCCCATACTGGTGAAATTAAGTCCAAAGGACTTGGTGCATTGAGTATGAATTTGTAAGCCCGTGGCCTTTCTAACTAGAGTGGATGGGTTCAAACTCTACTTGTTCCACTAACGAGTGTAACCTTGAGCAAATTTCTTTACTTTCCTGCATTTCAGTTTCCTTACCTGTAGAAGGGCCTTGTAAAGATTAAATGGGATAATGGATGTAGACATGCGCATAGATTTTGTATCACTTCTTTGCTTCTCTGCTAGGAATGTCCTTTACTGTCTCCTGGTAAGTTTTGTTTTTTTTTTTTATCACACTTCAAGATCCAATTCAGCTATTAGCTCTTCAGTGAAGCCTTCTTAAGAGTTCTCATTTGAATGTTTAGTGGTTACAGTTCACTTTTTAAAATATTTATACATACAAAACTGGGTTACAGGACAGAGGTGTGTGTGTGGGGGGGGGAGAAGAGGTGGTGATGGTGGTGAAAAGATTCACCAGAGACAGAGTGGGGAGCAGAACAGGCAGATTGATTTAAGTACACTGCTGAGGGGAGCAGTGGGCAGGCTGGGAGAAATCTGCTATGCCATGTGGGTCAGCTCCCTGGCTGGAGATCGCACTCATGTTGCAGTGGCTATGGATAGCTTTACAGTGCTGTGCCTTACCCACCCCCACTGTGCCAGCAGGGAGGGCCAACAGTTCACTTTTTAAGTTGTTTGTGATCAACATACTTAATGATGGGTTTAGCACTCTCCTTACTCTTTGTATAGCAACCACAGGTTGCTTCTACTACTACTTACCCCAGTTCCTGTATTAAGTACAGGTCAAATCTTGTGTCTTGACAAGTCCGTGTTCCACCTCACTTCACCTGGTCAGTTTTGTTCAAGATTCAGCTCAGGTATCATTTCCCACCATCGGAAAACATCTCCAAATTCTCCAGTTGGGCTTAGAGACTGCACTCTGTGTTCACAAAATTCTTCATGCATGTACTTGACACTTACCTTTTTAATATCAAAATATTGTTTCTCTGCACCATACTAAATTTTCTGAGCGCAGGGCGGTACTCCTGCATCCAGCAGTTTTTAAAAAACAACCTTTTAAACAACCGCTTTATTGCATAATTGACCAATTTAAAGTGTACAGTGGTTTTTAGTACAGTCACAGGTCTGTGGAAATATCACCACAATCTATTTCACATCTTAACCACTCCCCAAAGAAACCCCACCCCATTAGCAGACATTTCCCTTGAACCTCCCCAGTTTTCCTTAAAACTACATTAAGAGGCCCTCCCTGGGTGGCTCAGTGGGTTAAAGTACAGCACTGAGAAGCTAAAGCCACTTCAGCATGAGTTCAATCCCAGCCTGCCCCGGAGGTGACCACATGGTGCGGCAGACCTCTCCTGGCCCGCCCGCTGCTCCCCTCAGCAGTGTACTTCGTCCATCTGCCTGTTCTGCTCCCCACTCTGTTTTTTCTGGTGAAGCCTCTCGCCGCCCCTGAACCTCTGGCCTGTACCCCAGTTCTGTATGCACAAATAAAGTAAATCTTTAAAAAAAAAAAAAAACTACATTAAGATAGGGCCCTCCAGCCCTCCCTGGTGGTGCAGAGGGTTAAAGCACAGCACCAAGAAGCTAAAAAGCCACTTCCACATGAGTTCAATTCCCACCTGCCCCGGAGGGGACCACATGGCATGGCAGACCTCCCTTGACCCGCCTGCTGCTTCCCTCAGCAGTGGACTTCATCGGTCTGCCTGTTCTGCTCCCCACTTTGTCTCTGGTGAAGCCTCTCGCCGCCCCTAAGCTTCTGGCCTGCACCCCAGTTCTGTATGCACAAAATAAATCAATCTTAAAAAAAAAAAAAAAGATAGGGCCCTCCCTGGTGGTGTAGCAGGTTAAAACATAGCGCTAAGAAGCTAAAGCCACTTCAGCATGAGTTCAATCCCCGCACCGGAGGTGACCCACATGGCGTGGCAGACCCCACCCCACCCCCTGCTCCCCTCAGCAGTGTACATCATCAGTCAGCCTGTTCTGCTCCCCAATCTGTCTCTGGTGAATTCTCACACGTCTCCTACATCTCTGGCCTGTACCCCAGTTCTGTATGCATAAATAGATTTAAAAAAAAAACTACATTAAGATAAACATGGAACATTGTGTTCAGAAACTCCTGCTCCAAGGTTCTACATCTGGGCTGGAAATCAAGGCTACATCTGTCATGTAACTTAGGTTCTCCAAGTAGACTGACTCTAAGGCTTCACTCCTACATCATTTCAAACAGCAAATTTTTAACATTCTCATTTTAGGGAATCAAGATTCTCGATGCATTAAAATATATGAAGTCACTCAGAGAAGGGAACTGTTATGGTAGTTTAAGTCACAATGTTTGCTTGGGAAGGGGAGGTTTCTTGTTAACTTTGCTGTTTTATCCACGTCATCTTGGTGAATGGCAGGGCAGATCTTAACTTTCTTGGTCTGAACTAGTATTTACTTTCTCAAAAAAAAATTCCCAAGGTTAATCTCTGAAGACATGGTTGTAAGCATCACGAAGAATATTAACAATGAGTCTTGTTTGCTGAAGACTGGGTGAAGGCATTGTTCCGTGAGATCCTAACATGGGAACTAGCAGTTCTTCAAGAATGTAGCGCTGGCTATTATTCCAGGACTTGACTTTGATACTGGGGCGTGCTGGTACTCCGTTGTCTTCTTGGGGATAAGGAAGAGTACACTTTTTGACATCCTGAAGTTAGGTTGAAATCATGGCAGGTATAGGCAGAGGCAAGTAAGCCACTTCCAGGTTTACCTTGAAAAATACAACCTCTCCCACCCCTCCTCCAAAGTGACCTTGGAGGCCACATATTCTGGAAGATGTAGCTACAAATGGAGAGTCCTTGATGGACTTCATGTAAGCAAAAAACACAAAAACTAAAAACAAAACCTCTGCTGAATCTGAAGTTTAGCCCAGATTACTGAGGTAAGTCTATAACTCTCAGCTTTCTCCTTAAAAACTAAAGAGCAGAGGGCCCTCCCTGGTGGTGCAACAGAAGCCATTGCAACGTAAACCACAGCACTGCAAGCTAATTGCAGCCACTTCAGTGCAAGTTTGATCCCCAGCCCCAGAGGTGACCCACATGGCACGGCTGACCTCTCCTAACCTGCCCACTGCTCCCCTCAGCAGTGTACATCGTTGATCTACCTGTTCTGCTCCCCACTCTGTGGTGAAGCCTCTCACCCCACCTGTACCCAGTTCTGTATGCATAAATAATTATTTTGCCTTCTCTTGCCTTAAATTGGCCAAATAAGAACAAAAATTGCAAAGATAAATGGGGGGAATATTTCATCCTGGACTCACAGCAGTCCAGTTAGGATGGAAATTCTTCCATCTACCGTACCAGAGCACTGGCTTAGGAAACTGGCTTGGACTTGAAGTTACAGTCATCAGAGCCTGATATTCAAACCATCTGGGAGTTACTTCTTTCTCATCCTTCACAACCAAAAGATTACTGAGTCCTGATCGTCTCATCTCTTAAAACTGTCCCATTGTGCCTGTTATCTCCTTCCCTGCTACCCCTGCTTTATCTTCTTGACTATTATAAATGATAAATGATAAATAAAAACATTTACAAATAAATGATCTCATCCACTCAGCGGCATTTTTTTCATTGCCTCCTAAAACACAGCCCTGAGCATGACTTATATGTAAAATTTCCTGAGGCTCACAAAGGAATAAGGTCTGTCTGCAAAGCCCAAGACAGCCTGATCTGGCTCCTGTTTACCTCTTCGGTCTCATTCCCCACCATTCTCCATATAAAACTCCACATCAACCTGCAATGCTGAATTATGGCCATATTCTTTCTGACCTCTAGAGATTCACACATGAATATTCTTGATGGCTTTTCTGTAAGAACTCTTATTCAACCTTCAAAACCCAGTTCAAACATTCTTCACTGTGAAGTTTTCCCTGCCCCCTCTGACTCCCACCCAGACAGAACTGATCACCTCCTCCTCGGGGCCCCTGGGAAGCCTGAACAAACCTATTATTCCCAACACTGCCAGTGTGCCTGTTTGGTAGACCGTGAACAACTAGAGGGTGAGGGCTCCTGGCACAGAGCAGGAGCTCTGCTTTGCTAAGGGCCATGGTCAGGCTGTCAGTAGTGTGGTGGGCTGAGGCAGAGTCTAATCCCCAGCCAGTGTCTCTGGAACAAAGCTATCATGGAAGAGCAGGAGGAACTGAATTCATCACAAGAAATTCAGTCAACCTCTACGTGTTTATGTTTTATTACAAAGTATGGTGGGCAGAAAATACGATACTTCTTATACAGGAGGCTGAAACAGAAGGAAAGGGTAAAAATCAGGTTTAATATATCTTGGGAAACAAGAAATAAAGTCATAACTAGAACACTCCACTTGCAGGTGCCTCAGACGTCACCATCAGTGGAGAGTAACCATAACCATGAGTTGTGGTTTCACAGCAGTGTGAAAACTGTATTACAAGCCCTGCGTACAGTCGGTCCTGTGAAAATATTATTTCAAAAAGAAAGTGGTTACAGTACAGTTCTCCAAGGGGCAGCTTCCTCTCCACCTGACCTTAGGACACCCCAAAATCTATAGTACTGAGGAAAGTTTCAATATATAATGAGAAAGTAAGTTCAGACACACTAGACTAAAGGAGACAGAAGTTGATTGGCTAGAGCTTAGCATTTCAGAGAACAAGAAATTTCCGTCTTCTACATAAAGGTTTGTACAATCATGCTACAAATTCACACTCGGGGGATTGGGGTGGAAAGTCCCTGGCAAGGGAGCAGGAGTGGAAAGTCTTAAAATACACAGGAACCAAAGCCAACGATTCTTACTTGACCAACCCCGTCAAAGCTTCGGCTCAGCAAGTTCCGTGCCACGCTGCTTGTGCCACAGTTAAGTCAAGGTGTGATAGTCCTTTCAGGGTGTAGGGTCACCGATACAGTCCTTTCAGGGTGTAGGGTCACCGATACAGTCCTTTCAGGGTGTAGGGTCACCGATAGTCCTTTCAGGGTGTAGGGTCACCGATAGTCCTTTCAGGGTGTAGGGTCACCAGTTCATGTTCACTGTGTTGTCCCAAAGGTGGGTGCTTGTTAGTTCACCAGCTGTTACACAGACTGCGAACATTTTTCTTCTTGAGTTCGTATTTTCACTAGCTTATTTCTTTCTTGTTCAATACACCCGTGCAAGCCTCTCTGGGAAGGCACCTACATGTTTTAATACTTAAAAAATAACATCCAGAAAGTAGCCTGAGAGGACAGGGCCCCATCCTGTGTGACCATGCATTTGACCTTGACCATTAGCAGCAGTGACAAATGTGAGAGAAGAAGGTAGCAGAGGTGCGCAAGGCTCTCACAGCAGCCCAGCCAGTAGAGAGGAGAATTCTTGGACAGCCTGACCCAGGGTCCACAGTGACTGCCAGTTCAGGGAAAACCCAACTATGTGCCACGTCTTACCCTCCTTCCCCATCCTGGAGTGCTGAGAATAAAGAACATCTGCTTTGAGGCTTCCACGACAGTGGTCTCCCCAGCCCAGCTAGGTGGTTGAAGGAGCTGCTATACTCTCAAACTGGGGTGGGATGGCTCTAAGCTGGCCCTCCCAGATCTGGTAAACTCTGAACCTCCTAGGAATTCAGGCCCAGGAAGCACAGGGAGAAAGTTTTACAGCAGAAAGGGAGTAAGGTAATGAAAAGGAGAGAGAAAGAGGGGAAAGTTGGCATGACTGTTTATAACCGCAGCTTCTTCAGCTCTGCACCAACCAGTAACCAAAATGAGCCATAATCTGACTGGCCACAGACAGACACCATCCCTGTAGATCTCCACTGCCACAAATCAACTCTGCCCTGAGCTGTCCCTGTGTCCCCACAGTGCCCAATGAGTGTTCCAGAAAGAATGACAAGCCAAGACGAGGTCTCAATCCATGACCACAAGACGGACAGTTTAAACGCTTCCCCATCTCAAACCTTTACAGTTTTCTGGTATGTTTGTCTCAGCTAAAGAAACCCTTCCTGTTGCTTTTTCTCCCCCACCTTACATCTCCTCTTAAATTTCAGCCCCAACTATCATCAAAACCTTGCAGGATTCTCAATTCCCACCCCCCCCCCCCCCCCACCCAGATCTTAAGCAATTTCCTGAAAGCTCATCCTGGTTCTGATAAGAAATCCTCACTCAGTTATCACATCTCATCCCTTTCAAGTCCTAACCTGGTAGCTTGGTCCCTTCCTGGAAGGAGAGTTTTTGCTTTCCTGGTGTAAAGGCCTGGGAGGACATGCACCCGTACGGCAGCTCTCTGACAGCGGGGGCGGAGGCTTGACAGACACTTAAAGTGCTCCCGTCAGAGCACTTAAAGAAAATGGGCAGGTTGACTCAGTGGGCCCAGAGCAAGTCAAAAGTCTGCCCTCAGCCTGCAGAGCCTGGCTTGAGGCCTTCCCAGGGAGGTCCCGCAGCTGTGCCTCTCATGCAGAACAGATCCAGAGTCCCCACCCATTCTTCTAGCTGTCATTCTGAGAACGTAAACAAATGACAGCTGCTTTTGAAGCCATAACAGCTCTTCGCTTCTTCTGGGAGCCTGGCTGGCCGAGAGGCATTCTAAATCCTGAGAGTAAGAAAAGAAGCCCTGACTCAGCCAAAGGCACTATTTGGCCTGTGGTAAGAGGTCCAGGGCTTCAAAATACCAGCCTCCCTCCAACTGTGAGCATGGTTCTATTTGCTTAGGGAGAGCCCCGGGGGAATGTCACAAGGAGGACACCCTGCAGGGCCTGAGGAGGAGTAACAGGGCTGGGTGTCCACAGGACAAGCCCTCATCAACAGCTGTGAGCTTCCAGGGTGAATTGCTACTTTACCCAAATATATTCTAATCACTATTAACTAATTCTTTCCCCACATTTGGTTTTCGTGTTCCAGCTGACAAATGCTTTCACCATCCAGACCAGGTTTAAGGGCAGATCAGGAGAGGCAACCTAACTGAGAACTCAGGCTGGGTACAGCCTGTCTGGGTAGGACCAGCCTTTCCACCACGTTGACCTCCATTTCAGACCCTTTTCCTCAGGAAGGAACTGATGGCTCAGACTGCCTTTCAGAGAAGGGCCTGTAACAATTAGACACAATGAAAAGCAGAAGAGGTCCCAACCCACGTCTCCAAATGGCACCATGCATAACTGCAGCACGGTGGTAAATGCCAAGGGTCAACCCCAAGTCAGAAACCCAATGGGAGAACAAGACAGCAATAAGGTTAGGGAAATAACCTGACTGGAACAAAGGGTTTTTTTCTTTAAGACAAGCCTCTGTAGTAAAGCAAAGAGCTATGACTTTAGGGAACACAGGTATATCTGCTTCCGAAAAGGAGAATTCAACCCAAAGATTTCAAGGGCCTGGAAGCACTGTTTTGCTTCTCAAGAGCAGATGAGAACGTAAGTGGGCAAAACCACCAATCTTAATCTCTCCTAATCTTATACATGCAATTTATAGAGGGTCTCAGTAAATTTCTGGCACTCGACAGAGCACAATAAACCAGCGAACTGGTCCCCAAACTCATCCTGCCCAAGGGCTTGCCTAACCTCAGAATCACACTCAAGCCCCCTCCATGAAGCTCACGCATGTAACGGAAACAGACCCTGTGGCCTGCAGGCCAGGCCAGCTGACACCCTATGCTGGAGGCAAGTGGACGGGTGGCGAGGGGCTCTCAAGTGACTGTCCCTGAGGCTTCTGATTCTTCTGACATTGTCTATTTACCTGAAGGTCTGGGGTCATCACAGCCTATTAGTTCGTTGCTGATGAGAGCGGAGAGTCCCATACTTGGAAAGAGCTCCTGCTCAGAGACAGACACAGGGCCCGCGCCCCTCCAGCAGGCCGCGCCCCTCAGCAGTCAATCCAAGGTTGCCACTGTAACCCAGTCACAGTGCACTAGGCAGAGAAACAGCGCCGCTTAGGCTCAGCTCATCCAGGCCTATCATCCAAGACACGGAATAGAAGGGCTGGGCTTCCGGGTGGAGGCAAAGCAGAGGCCCACTGGAGGCTGGAGAACGCGCTGAGCTCAGCGTTCCTGCAACTATCCCAAGTCATTTCTATGTAAGAGGACTTCTGGGACGCCACGCTAGCCAGCCCAATCAGGCACTGCCCAACAGGTCTCAGTGGGGCTGGACAGAGGTAACTTCCGGGAGTGACAGAAGGCTTCACACGTCTGTTTTGGAGCCCAGAATGCCCTTGAGAAGAGCCAGGCTGAGAAAAGGTATGAGGTGGCCGACTTCTGAGCACCAGGGCGGTTTGGACTCCTGGTCAGGTGCACTCCGCTCAGGCAGTGATTCAAGAAGGCAAACTGCTGCTGGGATGCGGGCCCAGAGCTGCTCCAGGCACCAGGGAGAGGAGGGTGCTAGTAGGGAGGACTATGAGACAAAGGGAGAAACCAGGAAGAGTAAAGTTCTTTTCATAAAAAAATTAGCCCGAGAGATAAAAAATATACAAAGTTGACATTTGTTAAATACATCAAAAACAGGCGGAGAGACTCAAGTTGGCATCTGTCCCCACCGACACGGCCGCGGCAGGGACAGGGACAGAGAGGGCTGCCTGCGCGCAGACACACAGACAGATGGACGTAAGCGCAGCCAGTGCCTGGAATGCTCATTAACACGACAGCTGACAGACAAATACACAGAAACTTTTAATTGAGGAACCAAAGGAGAAGAGAAAAGAGAGAATATCTTAAAACTCAGCCTTGGGCTGAGGGACGCCACACAGCACTGAGGCTGGCACAGAGTGCTGGGTGATGGGCCAGGACTCCTAGAGCAGCTTCTGGTAACAGCGGGTGCAAAGCAATGAAAGACATACTGGCCACTGGAAACACGTTTCTTCTTACTTTGGGGTCGGGGCAGGGGCAAGAAACACACAAGCCCCTGCCTCGTGGGCACGGCGCCACCAGCACTACACTCTGAGGATCTCCAGACAGTTGTTGTAGCAGATGGCAATCCAGTCGGGCTGAGTCGATGCCCACTGCACGTTGTTGATCTCGCCTTCCGCTGTGTAGGCCAGGATGGGGTCCTCGATGGCCCGGGGCATTTGCTGGATGTCCCAGATGAGAGCCTGATGGTCATCAGCTAGGGACAGACAGCCGACGAGCAGGTCACAACTCAGCGAGTGAGGGTAGTGATCCCGGCGCTGGGGGCCGGGGTGAGGATGTCACAGCTCAGAGAGTCTGCCCACCCAAACCCCAGCAAGGGGGCTTTTATTTTAGTAGCTGAGTGAAGTGAGCCTGAGAAAGGTTAAGGCACTCGCCCTAGGCCATGGAGCTACACAGCCAGTTCATAACAGAAGTGGGACTCAAAGCAAGGCCTCGCTGGGTCCGGGCTCAGTCACTACAGCAGAGGTGGGACTGCACCTCCCTCACAGGCAGGCATCGGGAAAGGATGATGGGATGAAAATGACCCCAAAACATGTCATTTTAAAGTACTCTGATAATTTAATATGTCCCCCCTCCTGCTTTTTAAATAGCCATTCATACTTCAATGAGGTGTTATACAGATAATGAGGTAAAGTACTATGTGCTATTAAAAACAGTTTTTAAGGATTATGAGAAATACCAGAAAGAAGGTAGGGGTGTGTGTGTGTGTGTGTGTGTGTGTGTGTGTGTGTGTGTGAGAGAGAGAGAGAGAGAGAGAGAGAGAGAGAGAGAGAGAGAGAGATAGCAGAAGGAGATACATTAAAATGAGAACAGGGGTACTATTAGATGGCAAGGTAGTGAGTTCTAGTTTTAGTTCCGTAGTTCACTGATTCTAGTTCCTAAGTGACCTATAACGTGCTCATATAATCAAAATAAGTCTTGATTTTAGAGAAGAAAAGCAAAAGGCAGCGACCACTCAGCCTGTCCTCATAGCAAGCCCATCACTGAGACACGGGACCTCCATCAACCTCACCCCTTAGCCACGCAGGCCTCTACCTGATGGACTCAAACAGTAAAGGGAAGATGCTCTACCACTGAGGGTACAAAGCCATCTGGAAATCTGGATTCTTCCATCTCTCAAGCACAGGCAGGCTCTCAATTGAGTTCTTTTGTTTAAATTTCTCAAACTACCCTCAGATAACGGTAAGGATACAATTCTGAGGAGACAAGAGATGATCTCCTGGCTCCCTCCTCACCCCATTACCTGCAGTACAGATGTGGCAGGATGAATGTGGGGCCCATGCGATGCCATTGACACAGGCTCGGTGGTTGTTTAACCTGGCGACGGGTGTACAGGGAACTCGGACATCCAGAATCACTACCTGGAGGGACAGGAAAGGTCCAGAACTTCAAGGTGCGATAGAAATAACAAACCCATCGACCAAAACAACACTAAATAAGAAAAAAACTCTCTTTTTAAGTGTAACTTGTTCACTTGTGGATTTAAAGACTAATAGAGACAGAGTTTCTACTCTAAAAGCAGCTACAGGATTGAGGAAACAGGAAGCAAAGGTGACTCAGGTCTTCATTATCTGGATCTTAGACAACACAGGCCTTTACATGGGCAAGAAGGGGAAGAAGTTCAGAGTAGGCAAGGTCAGTTTGGTCAATTCACCAAATTCCACTAGGTGCATGCCCAGCTGGACAGGACTGAGCCCACCCCACACACACCCGAGGTAAGATCTGGAATGAATGTCAGGGGTCTGAGGCGCTGGCCACACCAAAACAACGCTGACCACTGCGCCACCCCCACACCCACCACAGCGCCACCCCCGCGTCCACCACTTGTATCCAGTCATAGGCCCCAGAGTGTCACTTCCATGTCTACTTGCTAAAGCCGGAAGAATCTGTCCAGACCACGCAAGGTGGAAGTGGCCTGTTCTTTACTCAGTGCCGTAAGCACACAGGATTTGGTTTACTCTTCAGATACAGCTTTTCTTGGCTCCAACTCCGAATCTCTACATACTAAAAGTCATTGTTCTAGATCAGGCTGTTTCAGTCCTGGCACTACGGACACTGTGGGGCTGTCTTGAGCACTGTAAGATGTTTAGCTGCACCCCAAACTCCACCAATGTAGTACACCCACCACCCCTGAATAGGGACAATTAAAAATAGCTTCTGATATATCCCACCATCCAGTGGGGCAAAAATGGCCCACTGAGGACCACTCATCTAGATCCACCAAGCGGTGCCCCATCTCGTCGGCCCCAAGTGGGGTGCTCACCTCCATTCCGTCCATGGCCATCGTGGCCAGGTAGTTAGGGTCCTGCTTGTTCCAGCAGAGGCGAAGCAGAGGGTGATGCTGGGGGTCTTCATAAATGATGGTGCTGTGTTCCAGATGGCGGAGGTCAAACATCCGCACGGAGCCATCAGCCCCCACCGAAGCGAACATGTCCCTGCCGCCCCCAGCACGACTGAACGCAATATCATAGACCTGATGGGGAGCAAGAAGCGCTGGTCAGATTCAGAGCCATCATCTCCTTCTCTGGACCAGGGAAATCTGCTGTCCCCCGGTCATTTAAGCCCTGCTGGTGACAGAGGAGGACAGTCAAGTCTAAGCGCTGGCACCTGCGAGCGCAGCATCAAAGCGCGAAGAACATCTACCACTACAGAATCTGGCTGGCGTCATCCCATGTCCCTGCTTGCCAAGTCTTCTCCCTCCAAGCCTGAGGTCACACTAAAGGCACAGGCTGACAAGATAGTCTTCCGCAGGCAGGAAGGGCTCAGTGGGAGCCAGAGCCAGCGGCTCACTTCTGCCAAGCACCAGACCGAGACCTTTATTTCCTGAGTCTGGTGACGTTCACTTGTGTGTGATCAGAAGTGGGTTGAGGACCATAATAAAGGAAATTTGAGAGGTAGAAGCAGCCGTCCTGTGGGCACTTACGAGCAGACACTGGTGCCACTGAGGAAGCCAGCCTGAGACTCCTCCGCAGGGGCCGGGGCAGCCGAGAGAGCACCAGTCTCGGCTTCATTTCCTCAAGCCCAGAGTGCCGGCCCAAGGCCTGCTTGCTGCTATGACCCACTCTTGGTGCTTCCCCAACTCATCTCTGTCACGGGAGCGCAGATTCCTGCAGGCTGGGCCCCAGGTCCACAGGCTGCTTTTGGCTGGTTTAACCATGAAGGCCCTAGTGGGAAACTGAATGGAGGGAGGCCAGGAGAAGCTGAGGTGTTCTGCTCTGTGTTCTCAAAAGCATGTCCAGTAAACTGGCCCCAGATTCCAGTAACTGCCTCCTCTATTGCTCCTCCAGCCTGTAGGTAGCAGCTTCCTCACTGTGGCTGGCTTCATGGCCTCACCATCACCTGCGTGGGCAATCCCCTGGGTTGATGCCCCTCTTTAAACACTTAGGATAGTTCTGGTATTGTGGGTTGAATTCTGACAGAGAACAGTAAGCTAAGATGTCAAAATACGGCAACCTGTCCTACTGGATGGTCAAGAGGGCTTCCAAAACTTGCTCTTTCTAGGACAAGCTCTTCCTTTGCCCCTTGGTTTGGCAGCAGCCAAGGCCAAGTGTTGTAACAGCTCCCATTTGCCATAGAGGCACAAAAAGCCAGAAGAGAACCCTTCACTAAAAATGAAACCTAGTCACCAATATCCCATTAAACCAATTCAACAAACAACCTCAAACTTCTGACCTGAGGTCAAGACACCCTTTTTATCTGTAGCTATAATACACCTTGCAATACAGGGCAAGACAGAAAAAAAAAAAAGGAAACAGTCTCACAGGAAACTGGGGCATTGGGCACGCAGTCACTCTGGGAGGAAAAGATTTATGGCCACTTTCCAAAAACACCCAGAAGAATGCTTTGCTTAAAGCACAATACAAATAGCTCTTGTTGCCCTTTGCAAAAACATAAAAGAAATATCACCATCAAAATAAAACAGACTCAATTCCAAATACTATTAAAAGTGTCCATATTAAGTGAACGCGCCAAAACTTCAAAGAACAAAGTTAGATAAAAAAGGATGAATTAGGTTTGTCTGCAAGGAAATTTTCCCTTTTCCTGCCTGCCTCCCAAAGAGCAAAAATACTTTAAGGTACGTGTTAGTCTACGATTATTTTTAATCACATCTGGCCCAAGTTTTTCTGTAAGAGACTGCTTATTTGTCTGTAACCCAGCTTTGGCAGGCTGCAGGGCAAGTGTGCACATCAGCCCCAAGTGTTTGCTGCCAGCAGTGCTGTTTTCTGCTGCTCGGACACATGCTGTTTTCTATCTAGTAAGACAACACCAGCATGATATTATGGTTTCCCACATAATTTACAATACAGCGAGCAGGCGGTCTGACTGCTCACAATGACAGCACAGAGAGCATCTGAGGAAAGAAAAACAGCCGCATCTTTACCTCTTTGTCGTGAGCGATCAGTTGAGTCTTCACATGACCGGACACAAGATTCACTCGTCCCAACACTTGCCCTGTCTCCAGCCCCCAGATGGTACAAGTTGTATCAATGCTTGAAGTACCTGGAAAAACCACGGTCAGTGATGGCTGACAGGAGTGAGGTCTCCACATGAGTTTCTATCCATGTGCCTACTCATCTGTCCAGCTAAGGACCCAACACACTGAAGCACTTTCTGAACACAGGGAGGGTATTGGGAGAGCCAAAAAGAGACAAGGACTCAACCCTCACCCTCGGACCTTCAACTCTGGCTGGGAGGCAAGATGCAGACATGAGCACAGCCCCTCACGCCACCTTAGGAACTAGTGGCCACGTGCCACATTTAGCTTCTTTCCCACTTGGCCCCATCTTAGGGTGACCGTGTATCCTGGGCTGCTGGTGAAAAGCTGTCCATGTTGTATCTGAGGAAGTGCTTCTTTGGGTCTCCAAACTGGAAGATGTACCCCTTCATTCCCTTACCTAAAAGATAAGGATCCACCTCATTCCAGTCAAAGGAGGTCAGAGGAGCACAGAAATCCGAGTTCTTATTATTGTTTAGCAAACATTCCAGCCTGGTCTCTGTTTCCCCAACCTGGAAGGAGAATCATTTTAACAAACCAGTCAGTCTTGTCTTCACAGCCTTAAAGCCCCATGTAGACTGTAACTGAGTAAATGTAAGACATGCGAGGAAAACATATGTAATCCAAAGAGGACTAGAGGAACTAGTGGAACCCAGGGGAACTCTCTGAATGTTCTTCCTTCCAAACTTTCTCCTCTGCCTAGCTTCTCCAAACTTTCATACCCAACTCTTTCTGGAGCTAAGATCCTGTCATGGTGCCCAACCCACAATCCACTGCTGATGGGGAGCTCAGCTGAGGGTAGGTGGTGATGCACTCACTTTTCTAGAATCAATGGCCTAGTATTTTGTCAATTTACTCAAAGATATCCTGGCTGTAAACAGAAGCAGAGGCCTAAGGTACCACCCCCATGGGCAGCTCTCCCAACTACAAGTTCACTGAGCCTCAGGTTTCCTGCAGGACTTCAAGGAAGCTTGGCCCGATTTCTGAGGAAAGCCCCTGAGCCAAACGAGGTCAGTCCAGATCGCTCCTACTGGCTTCCCCACCAGCTGCCAGGACACGCTGCTGCCCTGCCCAGTCTTACCCTCCACACTCGGAGATAGTCGCCACTTGTCGCCAGCAGGTCTGGATAGACACCTTTTGTGTCAGGGATCCACATGAGTTTTGTGGTGGGGTACGGATGGTCGAAAGTATTTCGGCAAATAAACTCCGAACTCTCTTCATCTAAACCAACAAGTTGAACCTGTAACACACCAAGATCAAGCCACATAAACTTCATTTTCCTCAGGTCTCTGGTCCACACTTAACCAGAGTAAAATAACTGGCTACAAGAGCAGGCACCTGGCCAACCAAGCTACAGCTCAGCTGAGGGAGCCCAAATCCGGGGGTTCAAGTGACATCGCACACTGCCGGCATCAGCAGAAACAAAATTCCTCTCTGCTAGCAAGAAGCGCGGGCATTCTAATAGGTGTGTAGTATAATTTAAGTTTAGACTTCCCTAGTAACTAATAATACTGAGCGTCTTTCATGTGCTTTCTTGCCATGCACATCTGCTCTCTGATGTTTGTTCAAATATTCTGTCTTACAAAATACTTACTGAACAGTTTTAGATTCAGAGCAATACTGGGCCTTTTGCCTCCTGCCTGTACCTGCATAACCTTCCCCACCTGAAATCCCCACCAAAGTGCAGTTTGTTACAACTGAAGACCCTACATCAGCAAAGTCCATAGTTGACATCAGCGTTCACTCCTTGTGCTGTCAATCTATAGGTGTGACACACGCATGTAGGATGCAAAACAGTCTCACCTCCATTTGTACTGGGTTGCTTTATTTACTGAGTTTTGGAAGTACTTTCTTTGTTCTGGTTATAAGTCCTTGGTTATATGTTTTGCAAATATCTTCTCACAGTCTATGGCTGTTTTCATTTTCTTTCAGTTTTTTTGAAACAGAAATAAAAATTTCTGACGTTGGTTCATCCTTTCTCTGTGTCCTAAGGAATCACTGCCACACCCCAGTCATACCCATTCTCCCTTGGTTTCTTCTAAATGTTTTCTCGTTTCACAAACCTGAGAAACCTGACTAGGGACCTGAGGCTACTGGGGGGGAGAGGGTAGGAGGGGGGTAGGAAGGGAGCAAGAGGGGAGGGAGCGCTGGTGACCATGGGGGAATGGACCTAGGGTACTGTGGTGGGCGATCCCACAGCTCTAAAACACAAAGACTTAAACCAAAGTAACCTCAATTAAAAAGAAGTTTTCAGGTTTTAGATAAATGTAGGTCTCTGATCCACTGGAAGTTCTTTTGTGATACAGGATGAGCCAAGGGTCACTTTTTCACATGTAAATGCCGAATTGTCTCATTATCAGTTTCGGAAAGACCCTTTTTCCTTTGATCACTTTGGCTGCTTATTGAAAATCCAGTGACCATGCACTTACCCAGCCTGCCACTGGTCTGCATGGCTAACCACTCAGCAGGAGGACAGCAACTTCCTGATGAAATCAGGGAGTGTAAATTCTCCAATTTTGTTGTTTTTTCCAGTCTGCACTTTTGCTTTGCTGTTTAAATTTTAGAGCCAATTTGACAAATTCTACAAAAATCCTGATACTCTAATTGAGATCATGTTGAACAGATAAGCCAGTTTGGGAAACTTGTTGTTTCAATAATATTGAGCTCTTCAACCCATACAGTATGTTTCTCACTTTGATTTTTTAATTTCTCTCAGCAACAGTTTGACCTTTTCATTGTACAAATCTTACCTTCCTTCATCAACTTAATTTCTCAGTGTGGGTTACTATAAAAACCTATTGCTATTATAAATGGAATTTCTGGATTTCCAGATATAGAATACAATTGTATATAGGATATAACTGTACATTAGTCTTGGCTCCTATAACTTTGCTAAATTAATTAGCTTTAGTAGCTGTTTTATAGATTCCCAAGGAATGTATATGTGTTTACCAATCATACTACCCATTTCTTTTAAAAATCTTCTTGATGGAACATACCCACAGTACCACCCTATACTATTTCTCCTTGTACTGTCTTGACAGCCCTCTTTCCAAAGAGAGTTTTACATTCTTGGGCTTCCCAACTCCAGCCCAAGATTCTAATTCAACAAGTGTCAAGTGGGCCCAGAAGTCTAGTCTTCAGCACTTCCCACGGGATCCGATTTCAGGAAGGTCTGACAACCTCTGCCCTCAGCATCAAACCCATGGGAGTCAGGAAATAACTGAGATTTGTCTTCCCTCATCTTCCTAGATAATTCATGTGTTTGCTGGCTTGTGTTTTAATTCTCAATGTAACTTACTCTAGCTTTTCTGAACCAAGTTGCCAAGTAAATATTGAGAAAAACAACTGGCTGTCACTGATAACACAATTTTTTTTCCCTTCCAGATACTAGGATGTTAAAAATTTAGTGATGAAAGAGAACATAAGTTCTCTATAAAAATCTAAGTAACACAAAGTGATAAATCTTCTATTAACTTTACCCCCAATTCTACTAACTCTCAAATCAGTCTGAAGTGTATCTTCTAATAGAGTTTGTGTGCATTTATATAGGTGTGCATAGTGTGTGTGTGGGGGGTGAGGAGCAGGTTTAAAAACATAAATGGGCTTGAACCACAAAATTTACTCTATAACTTGTTTTTTTGGTTTATTTGCAGCTTGCTTTTAACAAAACACCTTGCCAGGTCTCCTCATCAGTACAAATAGCTCTAGTTTAGTCTTCTACAGCAGACTGTGATTTATTTAACCATTCACAACTACTGTGGTCATAACCACACTGTTTTGCTATTATAAATACCTTGTACACAGATCCAGATGTTCTGATTAGATAGACTGCTAGAAATGCAATTGCTGAATCACACTGTAAATGTTTAAATGTTAAAAAGATTCTGTCAAAGCAGCTTCAAAAAGGTTGTTTCCATGTACACTTTCATTAACAGTATACAAATGCCAGCCCCCCCCCCCCTGTACTGACAGTGGGCACACTAAAAATAGTCGTTTACATTTTTTGCCAATCTGATGGATGAAAACTGGCATTTCACTAACATTTTTCTATTGAGGCCAAGCATATTATTTGCTATTTTTATTTCTGAATGGTCATTACTAATGTGAGTGATTGTGATGGGTCAGGTATAAGCACTATGCTTACTGCTTTGCAGGTATTACCTCACTTAACCCTTCGATAACTCCATGAGGGAGGTACCAGTACTTCCTATTTCGGAAGAGGATACTGAGTAAAGACATTAAGTATTTTACCCACGATCACAAAGCTGCATTTTAGATGTAGGTAGCCCCACCCCATAAACCAAGCTCTTCATCATTGTGATGAAAAATATCAACTTAAACCTTTGCCTAGCCTACTTTCTTACTAATTTGTAGGGGTGCCTTTGGTGGTAGATCTTGTAACTACATTTCCACTGTTCCATGATTTTTAAAGTTAAAGTCATATTTTCTACTTCTTAAGGAAAGTTTGGTACTTTATTTTTTCCTGTCATCTATATTTTGTATTGTGTTCGTACAAAATCCTTAGTATCGTTATCATTCTTCACACACCTTTCCCACATTACCTATGTCCAGAGTTTCTGTCCTTATCTATTACCCCATCCCTGAACCCTACAAGGACAGTAATGAGGGTGAGTTTTGTGTTTCAATCCCTACCATTACCTAGCTCCAACTGCTAAATAAACTAATGGTTAAAACCTGAGTCAAGAATGAGGCTAGATTCCAAGTGGGTCCAGCCACGCTATTACACAGGAGTAGGAGGGCAGCTCTCCAGCTTTTGCATTTGCATTCCTGCTCAAGTATATTATTCTTTTTTTTTTTTTTTAAGATTTTATTTTTGTGTAGAACTGAGGTGTAGGCCAGAGGTGCAGGGGGTGAGAGGAATCACCAGAGACAGTGGGGAGCAGAACAGGAGGATTTACTGAAATACACTGCTGAGGGGGGCCCTGGGTTAAGACACAAGAGGTCCGCTGTACTGTATGTGAGTTAGCTTCCTCGCTGGGGATGGAACTCAGGCCATAGTTGAGAGCACTGAGGCTCAACCCCTAGGCCACCAGGGGGGCTCCTTAAGTATATTATTCTCAGGTATTTACAGATCACAACCTAGCCTAATTTCTCACAACCTAGCCTAATTTCTCAGACTTCTTAATCTGCCTGGATGTCCAAAATCTTTCTTCACTCTTAACATGTAGAAACTTCCCTAAAAAATCTTTCAGTGACAATTGTTTTATGTCAATTTTCTGGAGATACAATTTGAATTCATTACTTCAAACCTCTTATTTCTATAAAGTCTACTTTAACTAGATAATTGTTCTTGTTTCATTTCTTTGGCCATCTTCTTCTGGGGCACCAATTAAACTTAAGTTAGATCTTTATTTTCTGCGTCTATATGTGTTCCTGCTGTCTATTTCCATTTCATTTTCTCAACCTGTCTTTCTTGCAATTCACTATTTTCAGCAGTTTGTATTTTTTACATTCCCTTTCCAATGTAGCTTTTAATTCTTTGATAATGTTTGTTTTCCCTTATATCATCTGCCTGAGTTCTATCTGCTGATGATTCATCTTCTGTCACCAAGACTTATTTCCTTGATCTCTTCTATTGCAACTTGGCACCCTTTATTTTCTTAAGTTTTCTGAATTGATGGTGTTGGGATTGCTCATTCATTTTTAAGAGATGAACAACATTACTCTAATGTTGGTCTTTACCTGCCACTTGTTTCCCAGTTTCACCTTCTTATGGTAATCTTTCTATAGCTAATGCCTTAGTACCTTTTGAATGAGGTGAATTCTTCCTAGGTGACCTGAGGGGCAAGAGGCCAGGGCCATTACCATTATTAGCCTAAACACTGAAAGCTCTCCACCTCCTGAGCAAACAGAGGTAAGGAGCTGCTAAGCTTTTAAATATTTAATCTCTCTAATCAATCTACCTCCATTCACACTTCTAGACAGGATGGCATGTCTACATTTCTCCTGTACAGCTTAGCTCCTCTTTTACGCAAGGTGTCAAATGGAGTCGGGTATGTTCCTGCTGCATGTACAGTGTCCCAAGGGATTATTGATCTTACCCACCAAAAACCTACCCTGAAGGACTACGTATGGTCTTCTGAATGTGAAATCTATAGCTATAGATATTCTTTCCATAGTACCTTCCTCTATCCATTTGATCTTCAACCTGAGTCACTTATGAGAACATAAGGAAAAGGAGCTGACTTCAATCATCTAACTGACAATATGTAGGTA